GTGATTGAGCAAAAAACTATTTCATAGGACATTGGCTAGTTGTGGAAAAGGGATAATGTAATTCAGCCTTTCCAGTAAATTCATTTGTTTTAATTGAAGGGGAAAAAATTCATCTTTTGGAGTACCGGTATGTAAATTTCAGTACATTTTACGTACATGTACACGTTATTTCCGGCTTGATGACATCAGCGGTTAAAAGGTACAAACTGAACACTGATTTAGTTCAGAGGGGATACAAACAACATGTTCATCATGGGGGGAAAAGAACTGCTGAAAGTAATGAATGTTTTTGTGTATGTACATGTATTAACAACACCTTACTTCCAGTTTGATGACGTCACAGCATTTTCAAACCCAAGGTCAATATTGTATTGGGTATAATTATTTTGTGGTTCGAACAATTCAGTAGTCATGGATCAAATGATGAATTTCTATAAAAAAAAATTTGAAAACGATCATTTTTAAATTCTCCCTACATAACTTCCCGTCATCAGACGTCATGATTCTGAAATCCAGGCAAAGGCATTTGCTGATGTCCAAATAATATCTAGTGGCAATTTGGTAACATTTTGACAAGTGGCTTTTCACAAAAATGCCAACAAACAAGTTTAACTGTCTTCGGTGTTCTGCTAGAGGGCACCCTTCTAGGTGATGGTGTCAACATGCTGTTTTTGTGTTAGGCATTCCTCACTTCCGTAGTTTGTCTTTCTAGTAAAATGCTTTTTGTCTTTGACTTACTGATCACAAGAAATGAGAACTGTACGCCATTGAATTTGAAAAGTTATAATTCAAAACAATTATTCAAATGTTGACCTTATCTTGCTTGTAAGTTGATACCTGGTGACATCATGATGATGTCACAAACTTGTTCACACCTTTAAACCAGGGTTCAAGTTCAAAGTAGGTTTTATTATTTCATGAACAGTTAGGAAGGACTTTTGTTTTTGATTTTAGGCTTCTGTTTGCTTTTTGAATTCACCTAACATTGACCTACTGGCTGTAAACCCAGAAAGGGAAGGTCAAGCAACTTCACGTAAAAATATTTATAAATCAGTGATCTATCTGGTTACAAAATATGAACATGAACGATCATTTTGTTGAAGAGTTATAAGTGAAAGATGTTGGTCACGTTTTCAACTAAAATCGCTTGTAATTTGATACCAGATGATGTCATCACGACATCAGAACAATATGCACCACTCAGGATCAGGGTCAATATATCTTCATAATTACAAGTTTATACCATAAACAGTTTAGGAGAAAATTCTCAAGTATTTATTGTCCAGAAAAAGAAAAGGATGAATTGAAAGATTAATTTGGACCATTTTAAACGGTGATCGGGTTGTGCCCGATCACATAATTAAGTGTATTTTCCATAATTTTTCCCAAATTTATAAAATTCTTTTTCAAACTCCAACATGGATAATGCAGAATTGCAACATCTACAATAACATTTTTACTTTTCCCCATAATGTACATGTAGGGATAAAACAGGAATTAGATCACCAACAGCAGCTATGTATGTATTGTGTATGGCTCTAACTGCCTGAATTTGGAGAGCTGGGCTTACTAGTTCAAGTCAACTCACCGGTTTCATTTCCCCCGTTTTCTTGCAATAACTGCAACTTTTGGGCCCAAACATCTGGCACTCCACGGCGCCATGCCTGACCCTGTCTTGTCTTTGGCACTGATCACTGCAGTACTTGGCCTGTGGGCAACGACCACATGTCACCGGACCCTCTGGCAGGGGTTTCATGCAGCGCCAACAGTTGCCTGGTTTGACATCCATAGTTTCCACCAGTCAGCTGTAAATTATCATTCATAAATACCTCAGACAGTTTAGCTATTCCTATTGGTCGAGAGCTCGTCACGTGGCCGGTCTTAAACGGATGATAAAGACTTGGCTAGCTGGTCTTAAACACTTTTCCAGTGTCACAATAAAATGTGGACTCCTAAAAATCCAGTGCCTCTTACCCTTTCATTGGTTGAACGTTCACAATCCTCACGTAGGCATGCGCAACACTACAAGGGAGTCAGAATTTTATAGTTCTAAATTCAAAACGCAACGCCCCAGGTGCGTTCTGCGTGACATCTCGCAGAAAATGTTACGCGCGCTTCAATCTCCATAAAAGGGTTGTTTACATCTTTCTCGCCAGCTGAACACTCCATTATTTTGCTAGAGGGATGTTTCAAAAAGCATGAAGTGAACTTGTTGAACAAAATCAGGATTTTTTGAACGAATTATTTGATATTTTTTTACGGATAAGGTATTTATGAATGGGAATAAATATGTGCTCGGTCGGTATTTATCACTCTGTTTAATACCGCTTAGAGTCTGGGTGCTGATAATTACCCTCGCCTCCGGCTCGGGTAATTATCAGCACCCAGACTCTAAGCAGTATTAAACGAGTGATAAAAACCTCCGGAGCACACATTTATTCCCTTAGTTAATTTGAAATGTTTTAGACAAATATATGTACATTCATAGGTGGGTCTTCTAATAAGCAGCTGCTGGCATTGTGATAAATAAGACAATATTTTTCAGTCATTCAATGCAAAATCCGGTTGGTTGTCAGCTGACCGACTCAAATTTGCTAGAACCTCTGTTTAAAAAATGCTTTGTAGCTCCCAGTTCAAGTGTGTATATCGAGATGATCCTGTGGGGGAAAAAACAGCCCTGCCTCCTCTCTCCAATTCTCAGTTGGTTTTTTTTATCTCATTCTCAAAACGACCCTTTCTTTCATTTTCAAAACGACCCTTTCTTTCATTTTCAAAACGACCCTTTCTTTCATTTTCGATACAATGCTTTCATTGGAAAGTGGTTAAAAGAATGCCACATACAGCCTGCCAAAAAAAAATGGTACAATCGAAAACAATTTTTTTTCAATATTAAATCTCAACATAAGTAAGTCGTTTTGAGCATCACATTAATTAAAGAAAAAGACCAGGCTTTCCGATACTTTTTGTTTCATCTCATTTGCTTTTGTCAATCCAGAGATAACTCCAGTTTAATACTGCAGAACACAAAAATCGAGTTTGTTTCTTTTGCCAAGTTGCAATCTTTTGTGAGCTTCAAGACAGCATGGCACAGTACTCGAAACAACTCTGCCCATGCATAAAAGTGGCACAAAATCGATTTTGGTGTATCGCACTTAATTGATTATATCTCTGAATTGACAAATGCAAATAAGATCAAACCCCAAGCAAGAATGACTTATTTTGAAATTTCACATTTAACCAATTTTGTTTCTGATTGTACCATTTTTTTGTAGACAGGCTGTAGTTCTAAAAAAAAAAAAAGCCCACATTTTTGGCTATTTTAGCCCTGAATGGCATTCCATTGAGGAAATTCATACTCTATTCATTTTTTGTTATAGACACATACATGTAAGGGGGTTTGTGTTTACTGTTTGCTTCAAAGACCAACCAAAATGATGTGTTACCTAGTACAAAAAAATAGGGGGGGGGGGGGAATGGGGAAAATTTGTTTTGGGGTTGTTGTTTTTTTTGTGCTCAAATTTTTTAAAATGGATTTGTAACAGTTAAGATGTGAATCAACTGTTCATTCTGCATTGCCTGCGCTGTTTATACATGGGCTTCCCTGCCTGTAAATTGGGGGGGGGGGGGGAGGTCTAACCTAAGGCATGCAAAAGGCACGCCCTGCTTACCGGGTCCGGCGGCATGCCCCTGAACAGTTTAGAAAGCTATTCCTGCATTCATTCTAAGGCAATTAGAGAATAAATTGAGGAATTTCAGCATTCCATTTATTATTTTGGGCCCTTTTTACTGGTGTAACATTAGTCAGTGGCTACTGATCTGCTACTGAGGTAGACTAAAGAAAACCCACCTATTTTCTTACTTTGTCGCTTAAATTGTATGTGCAATTTTCCGTAGACTGGAAGTTTACTCACCTTTATGACTCTTTGACAGCCTTCTAGAACTCGCCTCCTAGAACTCGCCTCCTATGGTGAACTTGTACTAAATGGCAGCTGCTACATGTACATGTATGTACCAATGCAAGGTTTAAGAGACATAAAACACGGAGAGCTTACACATTGATTGCTTCACCGACAAGGTCCCTGATGAATAAGAATTTTTTTCCTCAGTAAAGCAACGTGAACCTACCCCAGTAGTACGATTCTATTTATAACACGGGGACATGTATTTCTCATCCAAAAAATTCCAGTCATGAGAAATACGTGTTTGTCCTTTTCAGCTACAGGAATGTGTGGGTGTGCGTGTGCTTACATGTGCATGGTCATGGGGGAACCAGGAAAAAATGGTAACAATAGGGACAATGGTACCCCATAACTCGATCTTTAGAAATTTCAGTACTCCTTATTAGGAAATGCTATTGTATGTAGTTTGAGATTTCAATAGGAACAAGGGGTATTTGCGGGTGAGGCTGTGTGTGCAATGATGTGGAAAGGAAATAGCATTTTAAAAACCAAAAAAGGCGAGGAAAGTACCGCTACGCGCCAACCTGACTCCCCAAAGCTTTGCCAACCTGTCTGTGTGTACAGACAAGATCAAAATGATTATGCTGATAGCATTGGAAAAGGCAAACTTTGGTCACTTGAAGAAAGCTCGCATTCTATAGCTTGGTTCAAAGACAGACCCACGTAGTAAAGTTGTGCTTTAAACAATTATGTCACTCATGGCGGTATCACATGTCACATTGTACAGTCAACTGTTTAGAAATCTACATATCTATTTTGGCCGAAACTTAATACATAGAAGGCAATATAGTGACAATGTTAAATATATAAGTGATGTCATCATACTTCATTACATAATTTTGTTCATGGATGTTTTGAGAATTAAATATCGAAAATTCTTTCATTATAAAGAGGAAACATTGTTTTGTTTGATGCTTTACATGGTGTGCTAACATCTCCCAGTTTTCACTTGCCACCGTGCAAAGCCTTAGATCAAAATAAGGAGGGTAAATTCTTGCACAGCTGCTGAATATATATGGCATGGCTTTATTTTGTTTTCAGAACGAGTCACATATCTTCCCTCCAACAACTGGTGGAGCCGAGAAAATGGCCGACGATCTCAAGATACCATTCCTAGGAAAGCTGCCCCTGGATCCAAGAATAGGTAACGAGTACAGAAAAGCTAAATGATAAAACCCTCAGGAGTGGAGGTTCTTTGTATCACATGGTTCTTTGTATTTACACATTGAAGTAAATTACAAATGCAGCTGATTACAATGAGTTTTTAAAACCTAAACTAACTGATTCCTTCGGTCTGGTTCCCTAGGTAAATGCTGTGATGAGGGAACATCCTTCTTTGAGGAGGTACCAGACTCCCCTGCGACACAATCTTACCTGTCAATCATTAGCAGTGAGTAGACCACACCCAGTTTTCAAGCTACATAAATTTTCAATATGTGGTTGTAGGATTTGAATTACGTGTACACAATTCGTCAGTCGCACCATGAAGAGACATATCGTATATATACATATACGAATTGTTCATAATCCCATAATCCCAAGAGTCTTATATAGCGCACGTATCTACCAACAATTAGGTACTCAAGGCACTGGTAATGATGTCTATTTTTAAAGACAGGTGAACAAAATTTTATGAGAAACACGAGACCCATTATGTAGCACCTTAAAAGAGAATACAAGATGCTGCGTCGCATATTGCAGCCAGGCCAGAAACACACTTTCTTGTTTTAATATACTCCCGAGGACAATGCTTTGTGTTTTCTTTTGTCGCTGTAATATAACACTCTCCCATAGAATAGGCACACAAACCTACTACAGAGGACCGCTTTAAACAAAAGACCCAACTCCCGAGGACTGAAAGGATCTGTTGTTCTCCCTTTGTGTGTCTGTCCTCGGGGGGTTATGTAGATATAGAACAAGTACACCTGGGCAAACCCCTCCTCTTAGCGATCAGTGTTACTGGGTTCTTTAACGTGCATTACACAACACACGGGACCTACGGCTTTACGTCCCATCCGAAGGACGGAGCAATAATGGTAAAGTGCCTTGCTCAAGAGCACAAGCACCATGTTCCCAGTCAAAATTCGAACCCATGTACCACGGCACACGAGTCGAACACCGTAACCATTGGACCACAGCACCCCACATTTCCACAGCAATTTCAAGAAAAAAGCATGCGTCCATCTCGTAATACTTGCAGCTGTTGTTCGTAGTGGTATGGTGGTACTTCAAGATTCTGACTACTCTTGAGGTTTGCTTCGAAGTCACAGGAATTAACATTTGTTTATTTGTTTTTCATTTTGCAGAACTGAGAAAATACTGTCAAAAGGACGGCCAGACCGAAAGTTCCATGGATTGCTCATAGCTTGGTGAAAACACGAGAACTTCAGTGTATTGCAATTTTTTTTGTTATTTGGAAATAATTTCAACTCGGGCAAAAGATGGTCAGTTGAATGTTCCCCGCGGAGTAAATATATTAGCATAGCAGGCAAAAACATTGATCACGAGTACGGAAAGTATCACTATGTGTAGAACAGACTCTACTCTCGAGAATCGCCTTCTGCCCGTTCCCGAGCATGCCGAGTGAACAGCGCACTCCGGATGCTGATTATGACCGGGGGAGTGCATGCCAAGTGTACTGGTCCAGACTGGGACCTGGAGTGCTCTAAAACGTGCAAAACTAAATCAGGCCAACTTTACTCACTCTTTAGCCAGCAAATTTCTCCAAAAATTCCATTGGGCTAAGAAAAGGTCCTCAGTATTTCACCAACTCTGGCCAAGTTCGCGCAAGGACTATAGTTAACCATAGTTCGACTAACGCTTGCCCGAACTCTGCCTAGTCGACGGTGGTTGACTACGCTAGTCGACTATTTGGAACCAGCCTACTGGGGTTGGTTGCTTCGCTGGTAACCAATAGCCGCGCGCATTCATAAACGCTAGCAGAGTGCCAGGATCCAGAAGTTTTGCGATGACACAAATCAACCACTAGTCGACTAATGGTCCTTGCCCGAACTTGGCCCAAGTTTGCAGACTGGATTCAGTTTTTAAAGGAGACTTTCTTCAATATTTTTGGCACATGAAAGGGAAGTTCAGTGATTTCAAAATGAGGCTAAAGACTAGATAGGTAGGCCTACATGTCCAACCATGGTCCAACTGTTTGAAAAGACTGACCTCTTCATTCAGCGTCATTAGTCTGGTGGCCGACTCTGGAGAAATGTGTAGTAAATTGAGACTAGTTCCCTGTTCATGCCACACGTTTCTTAAATTCTTTTGGTTGATTGATGCAGTGCTGAAGCGGTGTTGGACTGGTTGTTTCAGGTGCCAGTGGATTTTCTTGTATTGCAATGTTTTCAATACCTTAAGTTTTGGGACTCTCATAGTCATACACAGTATTGAGTGACCCAAAATTTCGGACTAGATCTGGTCATGCCAACAACAATCCTCACAAATGTTCATTTGTTTGATTCTTCCGATGGTGAATACAATATGTACGGCGATAACCTTGGCCAAGTGCAAGCTTCGGCTTTCTGCCAGCCACGGCTATTCATCGCATTTATTTTTGTAAAGTCTGTGAATTAAAATGCTTATTATAATAATTATGATGAATAGAAATAAATGAAATCAATCAAATCAAACCCCGATATGCCAGTTTGTTGCAGTTTTTTCTCATCTGGGAAAAAGCATACGTGGAAATGTCCACATGAAGAGGAGGTTCTTTAGGCGATGAGGAATTTGCAAGGCATTCAACACTGACCGTTGGAATATTTGAATGTATATTGGCACAAATCTATGATAATAATAATACTACTAATGGGTTCTTATATAGCGCTTTTACCTAAGATCAAAAGAACTTTATTAATATCATTATTACCCCTGCCCATTTAAATTTTCCAAATACAATCTCAAGCCTTGGGGACTATACAGCTCGATGCTACCATTTCGGCACAAAGCAGCTTAAATCGACCTAAATAACCATCTCTGCCCTCACATGTACCAATGTACTCCTGGGTAGGGACTCTAGGGAGAAGCAACGGTGACAAAGTACCTTGCCCAAGGGCACACGCCCCATAACCCCCAGGCTGGACTCGAACCCACAACCCGCAGAATTACAGCAGACCACAAATTCAATGCCCCAGACCACGAGGCCACCGCGCTCCAATATACAATGTATGACCTACTTGTCGGCCATCATGAAAACGGGGTTTTGAACAGGCCCTGAGATTTGAAAAAGACGCCCCTACCTGCTGTTAATAGAAATGAAGATACTACCCATGGAAGTATAAAGCGCAGAATTGTGTACATGTATTCACATTAAGAGCAGTCTAGAGAAGAATTTGAGCTTTAATATACGCACTCGAAGTCTAGTAGCCATATCACCCATTTTTTTGACAGTCAATGCACAAATCAAATTTGCAAAAACTATTGTTCAATGTGCACAATTTCAGTTATTTATTTATGATCCTTTTCATTCCTTTCATAAATGCAAAAAAATGATTACATATTTGAACATTAATTGGCGATAAAGTGGGTATATACAGCAAGTATATTTAGTACAAAGGCAAAGTCCAAAATGAATATTTAAAAATATTCTTAGGTTTTTTTTAAATTTATATTCCAACATACCATAACCTATGCTACATCCTTGTTATTAGTACCAATAAATTTCTTCTACAAGTATTTTACTACATAACTAAACTATTTCTACTAAAAATTGCATTTTCAAAAAAAAAAGAGGGAATGTGCGTTGTAAAAAGGGTGTAATAAGGTCTTAAAGTTTTACCTGAATGTATTAAAAAGCTGCACCATTACTAGTAGTACTACTAAACTCACATTTTGAAGAATAAAATGGGACTGAGTGTTTTGTAAGAAATACATTTCAGTCTTGCTAATTTTTAGAAATAGTGGTATAAAATTTCAGAAAAAAAACAAAAAAACAACCAAATTTCCAACAAAAGTCACATTTTTGAACAAAATGCAAATCTTGTAAAACTTCTATTCATCTCCCTCATGCAATGATCTAGGCCGGTAGGCAACATCCTTGTTAATGATACATAGTGATATCTCGCTAAACAAGTATTTCTATTAAAAAAAATACCATATAGAATATAGTTCAGCCAAAATGTGAGGTAGAATGGGCCTTGACGACCAATGACCAAGTTGTTCCTGAGCGTATAACAACACTACACTATTTTCACTAAAATGGCAGTTAAAAGGAGGATACATTTCAGTCTGGATAATTTTTGAAAATAGAGTGCAATAAAGTATATAATACTTACAAGAAAAAAAAAACACTTCCCAACAAGGCCTCACCAGTGATCAAAATTACAATCAAATTTTATAAAAATCTTATAAAAATCAGTCCTCATACATGCCAAAATGTAGGCTAGTACGTCACATTCTTGTTATTACGTGTAATACACATTGATATATTGCAAAACAAGTATTTCTATAAAATATACTACACAATGTATATATAAGTCAGCCAAAAGTGAGGAAGAATACATGTAGGCCTTGAACTTGTACCCCAAAAATATACCAAAAACAAATTAACTATTTCTATACTTGCATGAAATTTTGTATCAATAGGAATGTCCATTGTGTGAAGACGTAATTAAAGGGAATATACAACATTTGCTTTTGCTGTAATTTTCAGAAATGAATGGATTTGGGGGTTGGCATTTTATAGCAAATATTGTTACACTGACCTGTTTAAAGATTTGTGTTCATAGATGCTGGAAAAACCCAAGGAAAACAAATACTGTTCTTGTAGTCTGGTTCCCGGCCCTACTTCAGACGAAACGGAACAATTTATAGACATCAGGAAATTGTTAGGTCAGGGAACCAGACTAGCTGGCTTGCACCCATTCACAGATGTGTTACCGATTGCAAACAAAATGTGGATTAACTACATTTGGTAAATTGGGGGCAGTATTACAAAACAGTCAGTTTTTTTCCAACGATGGTCAGCTGACCATCATTGGAAATTGATACAAAAATTCCACTTTTCTTTTAAAATGACAGCACACCAGGTGCTGAGTGATTTCACAGGATGAGACTATTTTTCACTTACTATCAAGTTATTTCATGATAACTTGGTAGTTTTGTTTGCAAATGTTGTATATTGCCTTTAAAGGGAATATACATCATTGGCTTTTGCTGCATTTTTCAGAAATGAAATATTTGAGGGGTTAGTATAATAGATCAAATATTGTTTAATTGACATGTTTGAAGTTTTGTGTTCGAAAATGCTTGAAAAACCAAGAAAAACAAAAATGTTTAAGTAGTCTGGTTCCCTGACTCCACTAAAGATAAAATGGATCAATTTATAGATGTCAGAAAATTGTAAGGTAAGGGAACCAGTCTAGCTGGCCTGCACCCGTTCATGAACATGTAACCAATAGCAAACAAAATTTGGACTGAAAAAAAATTGTAAATTTGGAGCAGTAGTTGAAAAATTGTTAGGTTTTTTGGAAATGTATACAAAAATGCAATTTTCTTGAAAATGACTTGACACCAGGTGCCATAATTTTAAAGGATGCTTTAGGCTGGCATTTACCAACATCCTAGTAAGGTATTTCATAAAAACTTGGTAGTTTTATATTTCGATGTTTGCAAATGTTGTATATTCCCTTTAAGTCTGAATAACCTTTTAGAAATACAGTACTGTAAATTTTTAAAAAGCAGGTTAAGGCACATCTTGTCCAATATCTGCTGCGTATTACCGACTACGAATAAAATTATTTCAGATACATAAAGCACCAAACCTAAACCTTAACTTTGTGGCCCTTTTTATCGCGTACAAGTAAAAGTGCTGTGAATGTTTGTCTAAAATCTTCTAAAAATCAGGCATTTCCTGGTAAAAGATTTCCTTTTGTGTACAAGTAAAAGTGCCGTTAGTATACAGTGTTCCAATGAGATATTTTCAAATAAAAAAAAAATTCAACAATTTGTAACCGTTTTTTTTTCTCATAACATATAAAGAACCTATCATCATAGGTTTTGCACTTCAACATAACCAAATTAAAACCAAAGATATTTTCAAAAATTGCAACCGTTTGTGTGGCCTTTGTCACTTTATAAAGTTTCATAAAATATAGATGAACCTATAGATGATCATAGGTTTTGTGCATTAACTAGTCAAACTTGACAAAAACCAGTGTCGCAGTATGGACTCTCCTCAGTGTCCAACTTGAGTTTTGATATCAAAATTGCTTGAGTTACGGTGAGCCACATGTTCGTACGTGACTCAAAAACACTCAAGTCCTTAAAAATGGAAGAGAAATGAGTGCAGTGACTATGTACAGGGTGAGTAAAAATAAAAAGGAACCCAAATGTTGGGACCATTGTATTAAGGAAGTTCTGCATGAAGCATTTTCAAAATCTAGGACATGAAAGCCCAATTCATAAGCTTTCTTTTAGTACAAGAATCATTCAAATCACTCGTGTACTTTTCAAGTTACGGAATTTTAAACACAACCACCGTTTTAAGGTCCTTTTCTGTGATCTGTGGACAAAACCTTAAAACGGTGGTTGTGTTTAAAACTCGTTAACTTGAAAAGTACATAAATGATTTGAATGATTCCTGTACTAAAAGAAAGCTTATGTACTGGGCTTTCATATCCTAGATTTTAAAAGTGCTACATGCAAAACTTCCCTAAAACAATGGTCCCAACATTTGGGTTTCCTTTTTTTTGACTCTGTATATCATTTCACAAACTTAACATTAAGTTAAAGTCATGACAGCTGGCTTGTGCT